GTTGATTTCCTTCAGGATTGACCGGTTTGATCTCCTTGCTGTCCAAGGGGCTCTCAAGAGTCTTCTCCAGCACCACAGTTTGAAAGCATCAATTCTGTGGCACTCAGCCTTCTTTATGGTCCAACTCTCACATCCATGCATGACTACCAGAAAAAACCATAGTTGGTTGGCATTGGTTGGTATACATTGGTTGACTATACATTGGACATTGGTTGGCAAAGTGATGTCTTTGCTTTTTAAAACACTGTCTAGGTTTTTCATAGCTCTTCTTCCAATGTGCAATCTTGCCCTTGTAACACAAAGGCAGCAATAGATAATATGTCAATGAAAAAGTATGTCTGTACTTCAATAAAACTTTACGGAGACAAGCATAAACTCTTAAGAGTATTAAATCATCACTCAAGAATGACTCACTGAGAACATAGGATTTGGCCAAAGTTACTTTCTGTTCCAGTGTCCTGTATAATTTTAGTCATTGTTGTTATTGTTCAGATACTCAGTTGTATCCAACTCTTTGTGACCCCATGGACTGCATCATATCAGGCGTCCCTGTCCTTCATTATCTCCTGAAGTTTACTCAAACTCATGTTCTTTGAGTTGGTGTTGCCATCTAACCATCTCATTCTCTTTTGTCCCCCTTCTCCTCTGCCCTCAATCTTTCCCACCATCAGAGTCTTTTTCAATGAGTCAGCTCTCTGCGTCAGGTGGCCAACGTATTGCAGCTTCAGCTTCAGCATCCAACCTTCCAGTGAATATTCAGAGTTGATTTCCTTCAGGATTGACTGATTTGATCTCCTTGCTGTCCAAGGGGCTCTCAAGAGTCTTTTCTAGCACCACAGTTTGAAAGCATCAATTCTGTGGCACTCAGCCTTCTTTATGGTCCAACTCTCCCATCCATGCATGACTACCAGAAAAAACCATAGTTGGTTGGCATTGGTTGATATACATTGGTTGACTATACATTGGACATTGGTTGGCAAAGTGATGTCTTTGCTTTTTAAAACACTGTCTAGGTTTTTCATAGCTCTTCTTCCAAGGGGCAAGCCTCTTTTAAATTCATAGCTGCAACTATTGTCCACAGTGATTTTGGAGTCCAAGAAAATAAAGTCTGTCACTGTTTCTAGTTTTTCCCCATTTATTTGTTATGGGAGTGATGGGGCCAGATGCCATGATCTTAGTTTTCTGAATGTTGAGTTTTAAGTCAGCTTTTTCACTCTCCTCTTCCACCCTCATCAAGAGGATCTTTAGTTCCTCTCCGCTTTCTGCCATTAGTGGTATCATCAATTAACAGATTGTAGCTTTAGGTATTTCTACTCTTTTTGCCTTTTGACTTTTACACTAACTTTATAAATTATTAACCCACCAACTTCACCACATTAAATTATTCTTTTACTGTATATTTCCCTCTACCAGTAAGATTTCTGTTTGCATACATTTTCCTATTACTAATTAATGTCCTTTTGTTTTAACTTAAGAAAGTTCCTTAACATTTCTTGTAAGGCCAGTTTTCTAGTAGTGGTGAACTCCTTTAGTATTTGCTTGTCTGGAAACTTTTTATCTTTCCTTTGATTCTGAAGCACAACTTTGCTGGGTATTCTTTCTTGGCAGGGTTTTTTGTTTGTTTGCTTGTTTTTTAGTACTTTCATTATATCATGCTACTCCCATTTGGCCTGCAAAGTTTCCACTGAAAATTGCTGATAGTATTATGGGATTCCTGTATCTAACAAGTGTTTTTTTTTTGTTTTTTTTTCCTTGTTTAAGATTCTTCCTTGTCTTTAGTTTTTGACACTTTAAGTATAATGCGTCCTGGTTTGGGTTTCTCTGTGTTCACCCTATTTGGAAAATGTTAGACTTCCTGGATCTACACATCTATTTCCCTCCCCAGGTTTAGGGGAGTTTTCAGCTCATTTATTACTCAGATTATTTATTTAAATAAATTTTCTGCCCTTTACTCCATCTCTCCTTTTGGAAATCCTATAATGAAAATATTGCTCCTCATATTTTGTCCCATAAGGCCTTAAAATATCTTCACTCTTTTTCATATTTTTCTTTGTGCTACTCTGTTTGATAAATTTGTCTGTCTTATTTTCAGTTTGCTGATCTATTCTTCCATTTCATATCATCCATTGTTGAAATCCTTTATTTTCTAGCTCAGTTATTGTATCCATCAGCTATGTGACTTCTGTTTATAAAGTCTTATGTTTTCTATCTTTTGTTGAAACTCTCAGTTTGTTCATGCATTATTCTCTTGACCTTGATAAGCATCATTACGATGATTATTTTGAACTCTTTATCAGGTAAATAATTTGGCTCCCATTTCAGTAAGGTCTTTTCTGAGGGATTTTCTTGTTCTCTCATTTGGAAAACATTGCTCTGTTATTTCACTTTCCTGGACTCTCTGTGCTGGCTTCTAGTCCTTCTATTTCCCAGTCATGAAAAACTGGTTTTGTGTGGAAGATGAAACTTTGTATTCAACCTTGACCTTTCTTGGTTCTTTTCCAAACTTCTTTGGTTGTCCATTTAGCCTACTTTGTTTTTCGTGGCTACCAATAGTTCAGGGTTGCCAAGACTCATCAGGGTCCCAAGTGAGAGGACCTCAGGTAACACATTCAGGATGAATGAATGGTTGCGAGGTTTGCAAGCAGCAACTTTTAAACTGAGTAGATATACCTCTTCCAGCAAAAGACTGGGATGGACATTTCTTCTTGTCCTTTCTGCACTTAGCCCTGGGATAACAGACAATTAAGAATTCTTTCCTTGTTTGCTATCCTCATGGTGATCCCATGAACATAAGCTGCACTGTCCACCAGAGCCAGGTTACCAAGTGATGTGTCTTCTGGGCAGTAGCCACAAAAGCTGGAGTGCCTGGCATGCGCACAGGCTCCTTTTTGGAGATACCAGTGACCTGGGGCGAGGTAAAGAGAGAGAACTCAAAAACAGTACAGGTCAAGAAGCAACAGTTAGAACTGGACATGGAACAACTGGACTGGTTCCAAATAGGGAAAGGAGTACTGAAGACTCTTGAGAGTCCCTTGGACAGCAAGGAGATCAAACCAGTCAATCCTAAAGGAAATCAGTCCTGAATATTCATTGGAAAGACTGATGCTGAAGCTGAAACTCCAATACTTTGGCCACCTGATGCGAAGAGCTGACTCATTTGAAAAGACCCTTATGTTGGGAAAGATTGAAGGCAGGAGGAGATGGGGACAACAGAGGATAAGATGGTTGGATGCCATTACTAACTCAATGGACATGAGTTTGAGTAAACTCTGGGAAGGGATGATGAACAGGGAGGCCTGGCGTGCTACAGTTCATGGGGTTGCAAAGAGTCAGACATAACTGAGTGACTGAACTGAACCTGAAGTGACTGAACCTAGCGTCCCTGATCTCCAGAAAGGATCTAAATTGGCTCCTAAATACATGCCTGCATCTCAGATGACAGCTACAAAGATAAGGCAATAGTTCTCTTTCATGGAATGATTTGGCATTTCTGTCTGCTGCTTCTGTGCTGTGTTCTGGTTGGGGGGAAGATGATTAAGAAATCTTTCTGTTATAGTCCTGTGGGACCTGCTAATGTAACTGGCTTACCAGAGTCAGGATGATCAGCATGCCTGGATGGCTGCTGTAAAAACCAGGGTTCCAGATGTATGAACAAGCTCCTTTCCAGGTGATACTGGAGACCTGGGGTAGGTCAGAGGGAGAGTTCAGAAATAGTGCCTACCAGTTTCCATCACCTTTGGAGAATATTTCATTTAGCCTATAGATGTGGATTAAATTAGAGGCCTATCCTTCAGGCCAAAGTTTTAAGATATGCAGATGGGCCTCTTTCACAGAAATTCTGGACTCTTCAGTTGAGTGTTGTCTTGAAGGTGGCCACAGTAAGTTTATACAAACTTTTAAAATACTGTTTCTTCATTTCCTATGGTTTTGTGGGTCTTGTAGTCACAAGCCCTGTTAATTTTCAAAGTTAGATGTTTTGAAGACCTCTTAGGTACAGATCTTAAAAGTTTGGGTGCCAAAGGTGAGGTTCAAGCCTTACTTCTCAGAATCTGAGGGATGTTCTCCCTGCTGTGGAAGACTGCACAGAGGTGGAACTTAGGGGTTGTGTCTCAGCCTCGCCTACCTATTTTGATGTGCATTTTTTTCTTGTGTGCCTGATGTGCAGGAGTCACTCAGCTAGTTTTTGGATTTCTTGTGGAAGATTGTTCCATAGGGAGCTGTAGATTTGGCATGTTTGTGGGAGCAGGTAAGTTCAGAATTCTCCTATTTGGCCATCTTGAACCAGAATCCCTTTAACATTTATTGTTAATGTCTACCTTAGGCAAAAAATAATTTCATTATCTCATTTTGTGGGTCACACAACTGAGGCTGAGAGAATTTAGCATCCTTGCACAGGATCACACAGGCAATAAAGGGCGTAGCTAGGATTTGATCTCTGACGCAGGATCTCTTGGGCTACCAGGAAGTCTTCTGAAGCTTTTTAGCCTAAGTGAAGTAGTGAAAGGACAACTCTAGGAGCTGTTCCCTCAACCACAATATTGACATCAACTATTCTCTTTTCATTGAATTCTTTCATGTAAAACCATGGTCCCATTGAAGAAAATCAATTAGGGTTAAGCTGATTAGCAAAAGCAAAAGCCCCAATATAAGTAAAAACATTCTCTAACTTGCTCACTGTATCATATTTCTAAGATTTCTGTTTTCTCAGGCCACCTGGTTCATTTACACTTCAGTGTTTGCAGTGTTACACAGTGGTTTGTTCTGATGTCAGCTAAGCTTTCAGTACGCCGGCAGAGCTAGTCTGTGTAATCATGCTTGTCTCCATTGCACAGTGTACCCAATGGTGTTGAGCATGTGGGGAAGGATTCCTTTTCTCTATCGGTGGTTTCAGCTGTCAGCCTCTAAAACAGTGACATGGGGAAGCTGTTATTAAAGCTGTCTTTGTCAAATCATGGGCTCTTCAGAAGGGAATAAATCTACAGCAGTCAACATTTCAGGCTCTTGAACACTTTATTTGTTATAAATACAAGTCAATACCACAAGATGGCACCTTCTTACTTCTCAACATCTACGATTACAAACATTCATCTTCATAAAATGGTTTCAGCTCTTCTATGTGTTGTTTGAGATATTATTGAAACCTTATAAAAGCCAGACTTGCTACAAACAGGATCGGTGTTCGATGTATATTAAATGAGGTCAGATAATTAAATTCAAAAAAAGAATTTATAAATATTCAGATAAGAAAATTGAAATTACAAAAGCAGAGTTTTGTCATCATTAAACTGAATTACAACTGTGTGTGGCTAATGCTATATCTACATGGTAAAGTTTTTGTTAAAATACAGTTTTAGTAATTAAATAATTTACCTCTTTTTTCCAATATAACCTCTGGTTTCATTTGTACACCCTAACATTCAATACACATCTCATTCAAAACCACCTAGCTTTCATCTAGTCCAGCAATTACACACATTTTGTTTGATTTCAATAGATGCAACCCATGAAGTGCCATAATCCTCCTGGATACAAAACAAAATGCAATCTGCAAAGGTAAAAACTCAGAATTTCTGAAATGGTAACCCATTCTCTCTGTGTTCATGAAAATAGGCAATCCAATTTGAAAGTCTTTGAACCAATGTAAATTCTAGAAAACTCAGTGTTGAAGTATGGGAAGAATAAGGGTTTGCACTAATATAGTGCATAAGAATGTGGTGTCAGACTGATCATTTACAGTAAAAGCCTTGGCCTCTGGATTGTCATCATGCTGCTGAGGATAAAATTTACTTAAGTCTGTGGGAATTCCATCATGTTTTCTTCCTCCCATTTTCAAACAGGAAGAGAAGGGTTTTCAGGTCTCTTGGAAAAATAAAAAAACATTAAACACTCACACCCACAAACAACTGGAAAGCAAAATGGCAGACCTAATAATCCTTGACTCCATGTCCAAATGAAGTTGAGGCAATATTACTTTTGCAGTATTTGTATTCTGCCCAGTATATCACACCATGAGATTCCTCAAAAAACTGAGAAGTCTGAGAGCTACAAAATAGAAAGCGGTTAAGGCAGTTGATGTCTACATTTGGATTTCTTTTTTCAGGTTACATGTCTAAGTCTCCATCGTAGGCTAAGGTCAGAGGCTTCTGTTGGGGAGGTGTGCTTTGATGTGGTTTTGGCTTCTTGCTGTAAAGGGAAAAGAATTCTTGAGATGAAGAAAGTTCACAGAGCTCTGTTTCATCTGCCAAAGAAAACTGTGAGGTACAGAGATCCAAGCGGTTAGACAAAAGACTGATTTCTCTGGGCTGGAGGGTTCCTTTTTGGAATACTGGTGTACTTTAACCCTTAAACCAGGAGAAGCCTTTTTTTCCCCAAAAAATCTTAAAAATAGTTTAGTGGAAACAATGAACTTGGTAAAGGGCCACTTTCCTTTGTTTATATGCTATAATGTGAACATCTGCTGCTCACTAATTCCTAAGCTACTAAGACCCCCACAGCGCAGATGTTTTAACATCAGAAGTAGCTAGAACAGCCAGATTCTCTTGCTTTACTCTGCTGTTGTTTTTAAGTAAACACACTTCTGCTCTGGCTTGAATCCTGGCATCTAGCTGCCAAGTCACCAGAGTCTGTCAGGAGACTTTCACTGATGTTGTACCAGGCAAAACCATTCTCTTCTGGTCTCTGTGCTCCCTGAGTTTGACATCTTTGCCAGGTTAGAGAGGGCTGTTCTTGCTTCTCACACAGAGGGAAGCTGAAAGTGAGTTACATTCCCCACACTCTCAGTGAGGTCCCAGATCTGCGGCAAACCATGCTTCATCATGCCTTTCGATTCTCAGTGTGGGTGAATGTCAACTAATGCGTATTTACAGTTTAATTCTGCTACACACTGCCTTCCCTACCATCATCCTGTCTCCCTTCTGTCCTCAGTGTCTAGGCTTTGCCATGCCTTCAGAGCCCAACTCTCTTTGGGTTGTCCTCACCAAGAGGGAGCCACCTCTGGCTTTGTCTCAAGATTTCTATGTATTTATTTTATTGCAGCATGTTATTAATTGGATGCACATACTAAGTGCCAAACCCTGGGCTGAGCACTTTACATAAAACACCTCAATAAATCCCAGGCCAAAAGTGAGAGGAGGCGGCACTGGGATTATCATCACTCGACAGGGAAGGGCTAGAGAGGTTACTGCCTTCCTCAAGTCACTGAATGAGTGGCAGAGCCTAGAATCCAAATGCATCTAGTACACACAGGAAAAACACTTTTAACCCTTCAGTGCATTCTCCTTGTATCCACATTATTAATTAGGCACTTGGTAGAAACAACTCTTTTGTCTGTACATATAATTAATTTTTAATATTTTGAGTGAATGTAAATTAAAAACAAATATTTTAATCTGTACAATTGAGTGGCATTTTGAACATTATGTTGCAACGTTGCATAATCATTACCCGAAAGGGAAACTCTTCCCACGAAGCAGTCTACACTTTGGAACAGGTAGCCTTTGGGACACTTTCTTTCCAAATACCATTCTTTAAGGCAACTCTGAGAAACCAGCATTTATCCAAAGGAGAAGACTAGTGTAATGCTTTATATAAGGCTATATATTTTACAAAATGCAACGTATTGTAAAGGGAGTAATTAGGAACCGTTATCGACTCAATATTTGCATTACCCTTCCCTCAATCATATGTTGAAATCTTAACCCTTAATGTGATGGTATTTGGAGGTGGGGGCCTTTGGAAGGTGATAAGGCATTCTCTACCCCTGGCAACCACCTATCAAATTTCTGCTTCTGTAAATTTGCCTATTCTGGATATTTCCTATGGAATCATACTGTATGTGTGGCTTTTTGTGTCTGGCTTTTTATTACTTAATGGCTAAAAAGTTGAGAATTGTATGATGCGTGAATTTTACCACAAAAGAGACACATGTTTGATAACATTTTTTTATTGGGAGAATCTCCTAGTTTAAAATACTGAGGTTCTAATTCAGGAAACTTTGTTTGAAGCAATTTATAGAGGCTAGAGGTAATTTATAGATGCTGAAGAGGTGAATTAGAAATGATTTCTAAAAAGCCTACTGATAGGAACCAGAGATCCTACAGTGTCCACACCCGGCATACAGTGGGTGTCTACGTATGACTGAGTGCTGGGCGTGGGCTACAGGCAAAAACATCCTCAACAGCGGAGAGGCAGAAATAAGCTTCAAAATTCACCGCAGAGGTATACTCACCCTGGGCCTCTTCCCCTTCTCAAAGAGCAGGAGCTGCATAATTATCTGAATAACATTCAAATGTGTCTATATTAATGTATATGTAGAATCCAGTGGCTCTAGTCACACTGCCAGGCTCCAGCTTGGGTCCAGAGCACACTAATCTGCATTTAAAGGGACTAAAAACTCACACAAATGAGAATTTACAACAAATTGGAAGTGACAGTTTGTCTATTATCCACCCTAGGGATGGTAGTAGAAGGTGTCCTAATGTCCAAAACAATAAGAGGACTTTCGTTTGGAATGAGAAGGATTCTTCTGCCTCCCCCACCTCCTGCTGTTTTAGGGGAAGAAAAGAGGGGGGCAAGAAATGAAGGTGTTTCCCGAGTTTTTGGCAATTCACTTTTTAAAAAATTTATTTTAATGAAATATAGTTGATTTACAATGTTGTTAATTTCTGCTGTATAGCACAGTGATTTAGTTATACGTATATATGTTCTTTTCCATTATAGTTTATCACAAAATATTGAATATAATTCCCTGTGTTATCCAGTCAGACCTTGTTGCTTGTCCATTCTCTATACAACAGTTTGCATTTGGCAGTCCACTCTATTTTTTTTTTTTTTTGAGGAATTGGCTTCTCTAAAAAAATTATTTTATTGGAGTATAGTTGATTTACAATGTTGTTAGTTTCTGCTCTTCAGCAAAGTAAATCAGTTACACACACACATATATCCACACTTTGTCAGATTCTTTTCCTATATAGGTCATTATAGAGTATTGACTAGAGTTCCCTGTGCTATACAGTGATCCTTATTAGTTACCTACGCTCAGTGGTAAAGAATCTGTCTGCCAGTGCAGGAGACTTGGGTTGGATCCCTGGGTTAGAAAGATCCCCTGGAGAAGGAAAAGGCTACCCACTCCAGTATTCTTGCCTGGGACATCCCATGGACAGAGGAACCTGGCAGGCTACAGTCCATGATGTTGCAAACGAATCATACATGACTTAGAGACTAAATAACAGGCATGTGACTCCCAATATATCCTGTCCCACCTGGTAACCATGTTTGTTTTCTGTGTCTGTGAGTGTATTTCTGTTGGTAAGTTCATTTGTATCATTTTTTTTTTTTTAGATTCCACATGTAAGTGATTATGATATTTGTCTTTGACTTACCTCGCTCAGTATGACAATCTCTGGGTCTATCCATGTTTCTGTAAATGGCATTATTTTTGTCCTAACTGGCATTCATTTAGGGCTTCCCAGCAGCACTAGTAGTAAAGAACTTGCCTGGGAATTCCCATGGACAGGGGAGCCTAGTGAGCTACAATACACAGGGTCAAAAAGAGTTGGACATAACTGGAGCGACTTAGCACACACAAGCTACATAGTAGAAAAATGGGAAAATGAAGTCCTGAGGTGTGGGGAAGAGTATGAAAAGACAAGAGTATTGGTTACCAAGGAGGTGGTGGTTAGAGATAAATTAGGAGATTGGGATTAATATATACTCACTACTATTCATATACACTATATTATATATGAAATAGGTAAACAACAAGGACCTACATTATAGCACAGGAACTCTACTCAGTACCTTGTAGTAGCCTGTAATGGAAAAGAATTTGAAAAGGAACATACACACACACACACACACACACAGAAAGAAATGGCAACCCACTCCAATATTCTTGCCTGGAAAATTCCATGGACAGGGAGCCTGGCAGCTATAGTCCATGTGGTCACAGAGTCAGACACAACAACTGAGCTTGCACACACACACATATATATAACTGAATCACTTTGCTGTACACTGAAAACTAACACAACATTGTAAAGTAAGTATGCTTCAATAAAAATAAAATCCCCACCCCCCTGCCAAAGAGACAACAAGATTGCCTAGGAGACATCTAAACTTGGCCAGCCTCTAGGAGTTGTGCCTAGAAAGTTCTGCTCAAATATTACTTGAATTTTTATATCAGTTTGCAGGTATGGAATTGTGAACATTGTGCTCACCTCTAGGGAAAAAAAAGAGGGGGCTCCTAGTGTGTAGGCCTGGGATTTTTGTGGTATGTGCTGGGATGGTTGTGATAAAGGCTTCATTTCATGATGTCTCTCTTCATACCATGTAAGCTCTCAACTGATGTATTAAAATCACATCTATGAATGTGTGAAGGGCTTCCCTTGTGGCTCAGCTGGTAAAGAATCTGCCTGCAATGTGGGAGACCTGGGTTCGATCCCTGGGTTGGGAAGATCCCCTGGAGAAGGGAAAGGCTACCCACTCCAGTATTCTGGCCTGGAGAATTCCATGGACTGTATAGGCCATGAGGTCGCAAAGAGTCAGACATGACTGAGTGACTTTCACACACATGAATGTGTGAGACCTGAGAACTTGTAGAGTGTTTAAAAGTTAGCAACCACTGAATAATGTGGTAATGCTGCTGAGAAGCTGTGGCTTTAGAGCTTCCTGGCTGGTTAAAAAGAACCCTAAGAGGAAGGACTGAGTAGGGCCCTGCCCTCTGCAAAGTCAGCAAATAGGAAACTTTTCTTTAGAAGCCCCTGCTCCCTTTCCTTTCTTCCTTCCTGATCTTTATTAGGAAATTCATTTAGAAATCCTTTTAAAATTATTTTTTCTCTCTTCAATTCTGCTATCAGGTAAGGTGTGACCACCTCACTCACACTAAATCAGGACCCATAAATGCCTGGCCCATGGCCGCCGCCACCCCCAGGCATCCTGTGCCCGCGGTGGCCATCTCCCATCCATCACACACTTCTTTCCTGTTGAGTCCAGGAATAGCCTCATAATTCTTCCTAATGCAGCGCTCTTGACAGCCGCTACCACTTTTAGAGTTTGCACAAGGTAGAAAACCATTATGCAGCTCTGGCTGTAAGCGATCATTGACTGACACGTTTTAAAGTCACTTTTTCCATGAGCATTTGCATTTTAGCAAAGGATAAACCCGTTAGGCCAGAAAAGTGAGT